TTTTGGAAGCTACAAATGGACATTTAAAGAGTTACAAAGATGGTGCACCAATTTCAAGTAATAGACATACTAAATATCTTAATATAATTAAACCTCTATTTAAATCTGTTGGTGAAGGTTTGAGACAAGTGACTGGTAATAAAATAGACTATATTTATTGGGATGATCCTAATGAGCTTGTAGATAGGTTAAGACTTCTTTGGCTAAGTCGCCAAGCCGGTAACTCAGGAGTGGATAATGAAATAGATTCCATTATTGAGGAATTGAGAGAAAGTGGTATTATTTATTAAATAAAAATATGTTTATAGATAAATTTTATCGTTTATATAATCCATATAATAAGCCTGCAGAACCCAGGGCTAGTAATGAACCTACTTTGAATTTACAAGACGATAGTTGGAATTGTTTAAACCGTAAAATTGGTAATGTTAAAGATGGAGAGTTTGTAGATGATGTATCAACTTTGGGTCAGACATTAACTAGAAAAGGTGATGTCTTCTTACAAGGTAAAACTAAATATGAGTTTTTAGAATCTAAGAATAAAAATTGGAATGCTAAAAAACAGAAAATTACTAATGTGGAAAAGGGTGAAAGTTTAGATGATGTGCCCACTTTACAACAGACTTTAATACGAACAGATGGTAAATTTGTACAAGACAATAATAATTATGAATTTTTAGAATCAGAAAATGGTATTTGGAATGCTAAGAAACGGAAAATTACTAATGTGGAAAAGGGTGAAAGTTTAAATGATGTGCCCACTTTACAACAGACTTTAATACGAAAAAAAGATGGTAAATTTGTACAAGATGATAATAATTATGAATTTTTAGAATCAGAGAATGGTGTTTGGAATGCTAAAAAACAAAAACTTAGCAATTTGATGGAAGGTACAGATAGTAAAGATGCTGTGAATGTTTCACAAGTTCCAAAAATGGAAGTAGGCTATTGGAATTTTAATAATAAAAGGTTAGTACGTGTTAAACCTGCCATTGATGACACTGACTGTGTTACAAAAGAACAGACTATAACTTATAATAAAAAAGAAAAATGTTGGGATGCCAAAAATCAATTCATAAGAAATCTACCAGAGGGGGAACATTCGGATGATATTTGTCTAATGTCACAATCTATGCATTACGATGGATCAAAATTTGTATATGGAGAAAAAAATTTTAATTTGATGGAATATAATCCTGATTTATTAGTTGCTGACCCCAGATCTTTGAGTGGATTTAAGTATATAGATAATAGACCATATATACCAGAAAACTATGTATTTAAAAGAATGGAAGATAATCTATTGATTGGGGCTAATGGTGATGTATTTAGAGTTACAGGAAAGGATGATGTTATAAAAAATGAATGAAATTGCATACGAGCTTCATAAGCCTGCAAGAAAGAATTTCATTAGAAGGTCTTTTAAAGTATTGGGTATAAACGAAACCATACAAATAGATTTAGTTGATATGCAAAACTATGCTAGAGAAAATTCTGGCAATAAATATATTTTAACTTTAATAGATACATTTTCTAAAAAGCTTATGCTGCTCCACTAAAGAATAAGACAGGGTTAGTGGTTACAGAAGCCATTAAAACCATTCTACCAAAGGGGGTTAAAAACATTCAATCTGACAATGGAAAAGAATTTTTTAATCAATATTTTAGCAAACTAATGAAAAAATTAAATATTAATCACTATCACACATTTTCTACAACTAAGGCTGCAATTGTGGAGAGGTTTCAGAGAACTTT